CTGCCCTTCCCCACCATGGGGACAGAACTGTGCCATGGAAGAGGTGCCTAATAAACCCTGACCTCCCTGAGTCTTTACCTAGAACTCGATTTCAAACCCCGCAGACAGCAGAGGAGAACGCGGGCCCTCAAAGGGGGAGGCTGATGAAAGGGGATCCGCTTCCCCGAGATGCGCCACTCCTGTCAAAACAAACTTTCACTGTGTTTTGAAATGCTGGTGGTGTTTGAAACATGTTCATTAGATATGAAAAAGGCAGCTTTCACATGAAGGAGAGGCTCGTGTCTGCAAGCTGCTCCTCTTCCCCAAAGCAGCGGTTGGAAAGTGGCTGGAGAGACGTCGTCTCGCTGCCGATATCCACCCACCAAGCAGGACTTCAGGCTGGATGTCTGTGCTTTGGTGCCGAATCCTCGAGGGGACAGGCAGGGGCATGTGGAGACAGCCTGGACTTGGAGCTGGACCCAGCTGGGTGCGACCTGCTTCAGCCACTCGCTAGCTGAGAGCTGAAACTCTCTCTCGGCCTCAGTTTCCCCACCAGTATAGCAGAGACCCTCTCCTGTTAGGAGGGCCTGGCTTCCCTCTCTGGACGTGGGAAGTGCCTAGCAGGACAGTGTGTGGTTCACAGTGAAGACTAAATGGATTCTTCTCCCAGGCTGAAGTTCCACGGGGCAGGGGCCAAGCCAGCCTTCCCACAGAGCAGCCCAGGGCCCAGCGCAAATCCTTGCTGAATGAATGAATGAGTGAACAAATGAGGTCTAGTTTGCACCCAAGGTCCAGAGGGATTCCTCACTTGTTTTAAGACCCTCCCTTCTCCCTGTCTGACATCACCTCATCTCTAACAGTTTGTGCCCCTGAAAATGCCAGGAACATGGCAGCTGAACAAGCCGCGGTGGCCATCACCGCCCACCCGGGGGTCACCGCTCAGAACCTCAGCCGAAACTCAGGCTTGAACGCTATCTGCTCAAGCAGGTTTTCTGGGTCAAAGCGACTGGCAGGATGTTCCCAGGCATCCTGCGCTGCTGGGATGGGGCGTGGCGGGGACGCAACTGCATGGTCCTGTGTCTGCAGGACACTGATGGTGTCCGTAGGGCCGCCTGGCCGTTAGGGCCACCTGTTCACTCAGCAGACGTTCCACAAGGCCCAGCAGTGCAACAGTGCCAGGCCTGGCACAGACACACGACAAGGAGAGGAGGATCTGTCCTTCCTTGCAGGGCCAGGACACGGCCCCCAGGCCTCTGGCCGACAAGCGCTGCTGGGGAGGTCGGATGGGCCCTTCCTGCGAGAGCAGGCGCTGGGAACCACAGCGTCTCCACACCCGAGAGCTCGCTGGGGACCCTCTCTCAACCCCTCCTCTGGGCACCCATGACCCTAGCCCACGCCAGGCCACGCTGCGGGCTGGTTCCCAGGAGAAGGGCACCTGGACCTGGGCTGACTCCCCAAGGGGCTCCACTACCCACTTGCTGGGTGGCCAAAGGGATGTGGTCTCACCTCTCTGAACTCCGGTTTCCTCATCTGTAAAACAGAGATCATAAGCCTGCGGTGATGATTTATAAAAAAGCAAAATGTTTTCTGAACTGTTTTCCAAGGCTCATCTCCATTGTTAACTCACCTTTGTGGCGAGTCTGGTGACTACGGAAAACCAAACTGAAGGGCCGCTCTGGGAGGGGCTGAAGTGGCCCCAGGCTCCCGGCCACTTTGGGCTCCTGGGGGTGCGGTTTAGAATCATGGAGCCTAGCACCTGCCTGCACACAGTGGGCCCGCAGGAGATGGTGCCACCTGTCCCCTCACCATGCCACCTGGGACTGTGTCTGTCTACCTCAAAAGCAGTGACAGCTGCATAATGGCATGTCCCCTGCACCCAGCCCAGGGCCAGGCATTCAGCTCAAGGAAAGAGGAAAGAGCTCCCGTGGCCAGGCCGAGCACCCGGAGACCCAGCGTGCCCTGACCACTTGAGCCCGATGGCGGTCACCCCCAACCAGACCTGTTCCCCAGCCCCAGAGGCGGCGCAGGGCCCTGCCTGGGCCTGGGTGGGAGCCGGCACCCTGCCCGCCCCGATCAGCCCGAGGCCGCTCTGTCACCACTGCCGAGGAGCCGGGCCTACTCTCCCAGCCCCACGATTTGTCTTGCAGCTGCTGCCGTTGCTTGGAGCGAGACACTTGCTCGTAGCTTGAGAGCTGTGTATAGGCAAATCTTTCATTTTTCTTTCATTATGCCGGCGTGTACTGTCACTTAATTTTTATGTATGCAATCCTCCCTGACAAATATGATCTGCTGCCTGGTAATTTGTCTGACGCTCATTCTGTTCTGTGCTCTAATTACGGCTCCTATTCCTGACACCGAGGCAGCGGCTCTGCCACCGCTGGGTACCGCACCTGTCAGCCCGACCATGGCACTGACTAATGCCCTTTCATGCCAGCCTCGTGTTAGCAAATACAGAGGCGGGGAGGGGCCCCGGGGAAGGGCAGGCAGGAGGAAATCAGATTTGCATAAGCCCAGCTCTCGGGTCAGCAGCCTTAGGAGACAAGGTGGTTGCCAGGGCAACGTGGCTGCCACCACGCGTTCCCGCATAGTAGGTGCGCACTGGATTCAGCAGATGCATAATTCATACCCATGCGCAGGGTGTGAAGGGGCCCCTGCCCCCGTGTCCTTCCTGAGTCACGATGCAACGGCAATTAGTTCAATCTCCTGCCTGACCAAACGTGTGTGAGCCTCAGCTGCCTGCAGAGCCACGCTGTGGGAGGGGTCTTCCCTGTGTCTTGGGGACTTCAGGTCCCAGGCTTTGGCTCTGCCCCCTCGCCAGTGTGGAGCCTTGGTGGCCCTCAGTTCTGGGAGCTTGTCCTGCAAGCAGGGGCTTGCAGAGCCCCCGTGCGGGCCACAGCTCAGTGGGCATCTCCCGGACGTGGGTACGTGGCCTGGAGCGGGGACAGGCCCCAGGAGGAATCCTTTCACCCACGATGCGGCCCAGTCAGCTGCTCAGAGACCTCAGGAGGAGCCGGGCTGACGAGGGTGGCCTTCTCCCAAGTTCCAATTCCTTCTCATTAATATAATAAGTGCACCAGTCCAAGTCGATAACATCACGTTGTCGGATGAGACCACATCTCTGCCCGGTCCCGACGATCCGATCCTAACTGGCTCTGACGGAGCGCCGCAGTCTCTTCTGCAGTGGGACGGAGAAAGGCTCGGAGCTGACGGACAGGGGACAGCAGGCAGCGGTTTTAACTCTTTGACAGTTTCCCTTGAATCTTCTGGCCTTTTCAAAGCTCTTAAACCAGATAAGTAAACAGTCGCAAACCAGCCAAAACACTTGGTTTTTCACAAGGAAGTGTCTGAGGGGACTGGCAAAGTCAGTGGCCGGGTTCTTGGAGGGAGGCTCCAACACCAGCCTCCACGGCCCACAGCCTTCTGGAAGAAGCGCGGGCTCTGGAGGGAGAGGCCTGCGTTCGGGTCCTGGCTCTGCTGCCGTGCAACCTCGAGAAAGTCTCTCAAGCTCCTGGATTTGAGATTCCTCCTCTGCAAAAAGGAAGGATCCCACGGACCCTCTGCACCATCGAAGGCGTGAGTGGAGAACCACACACTCCCTGGGGCGGGCCCTGGCACACCTTCCTTTGGAGCTGAAGGAAGAGCTCGAGGCCCTGCCAGGTGTCCCCAGGGTTGGATGGGAATGAGAGTTTCAAAACGAAACACCCCCCACCCCACAGGCAGCTGGAGTGCTGATCGCCAGTTAGTGCATTTCTCCTCACTGTGCGCCACACGCCGAGAGTCTGAGCCACCCGGACCTGCGTGAACAGTCACAATTTCCTCAGGAGAGTGTGGCTTCCAGAAAGCCCCTCTGCCCTTACTAGACGAAGCCGCCTGCACAACCGGCTTGCGACAGGCTCTCCTGGCTTGAGCCGTGGAGTGAGGTGGACAAGAGCCAGGAACAGCAGCATTCAAGAAGGCAGCCCCCTGCTCGCAGGCCCGGCTCCCTGCTGTGGACACGGGGTGCTTCGCCCGCGACTGGGCCATGCATGGGAATAGCGACCTCGGGAGCACCTTCCTCTGCAAACGCGCCTTGCACAGCCCGGAACTGGCTTTGGGAAACCTGCCCACCCCAGGGGCCTCTGTGAAACGTCCCCTCGGGTGGCTGTGGTGAAACCCTGATATGCCCCGTTGTCGTGCACAGGAGACCCTGTAACCGTGTTCCACTGGGGGCCTCGTTGGTTGCTATGTTCTACTTAAATGCAAAATTCGCCACCATCCATTGTTTCGGGTTTCACACTTGGTTAGGTGCCCGGCATGTGGACTCTGATGCTTGCACTGCTTCTCGTGCCCCGACACACACATCTGCCAAGTCCAGCCCTTCAACACTCCTGACCCCCAGGATGGTGTCCAGCCCCCTGAGCTCAGCGTTCAAGGCCCCGCCTGCCTTTTGTGCGGCTCCTGCAGCATCCTGAGGACCCAGCTCTCTGCCAAACCGAGGCACCCACCTGGCCTCACGCCGAGGCTTTCCCGTTCTCTTTCCTGGAATGCTGCTCCCTCCCTCCCTGTCCCAACGGCTCCTAGTCACCCTTCACGGTTCAGCTAGAATGTCACCTCCTCCTGGGTGAGTCCTTGGCCCCCACAACTTCAAAACTGCCTGTTTAAAAGGCAAACACTGGAAACGGCTCAATGGCCACCCCCCAGAGGATGGGCCAAGTGTGGCGTGCCCACAGATGGGACACCACACAGCAAAGGGAAGGCGGAACAACTGTCAACGACAGACACACCTCCCGCTCCGTATAATGGGCTCAGTCGGCCTTTCCTGGGAGGGACAGGAGGTGACAAGGTACAGGGAAGCCCCAACCAGGTTCCCCCAGGCCTCAGTTTCTCCCTTCTGGGTTACTCTTCTGCACAGATGAATAAACTCTGGGGCTCACAAAAGGCATTTTCCTGCACTAACCGACCAAAGGCGCATGGGGAGAATATCTGCATTTCCCTGCAGGACCCCCAGGGGCTGCTGGAATGCAGACAGACACCCCCCTTACCTAGGGAGTGGGCTGCAGTGGTCTCAGAGCTGAAGAAGCGGCCCAGACCGAGGTCACCAAGCTTCACGATGCCTGTGGCCGTGATGAACACGTTGGCAGGCTTGATGTCTGCGGGCAAGGAGAAGGGGGTTGGTGTGGGAGTAACAGGCTGGGGTGGGTTAGGCAGGACAGGAAGAGGGGGTTGGCCCAGGCAATGGGCAGCCCAGCCCTGGGTGCTGCTCCCTTCAGGCAAGACCCCACCTGGCTCTCACTGTATGACCTCAGGAAATTTACCATCTCTCTCTAAGCCTCAGTTTCCACACCTGTAAAATGGGTCTAACTTCACCTACTTCCCAGAGCTGCTGCGCAGTCTCTGAGAGCAGAGATTTTTGTACTATTGTTTCCTTTTCTAGTGCGGTATCCCGAGCCTTGCACACAGTAGGTGCTCAGTGGAAATCTGTGTAACGAGCGGAGCACACAGCGAGGCATCCGTGCCGTGCCCCAGTGCGAGAGGGTGCCTCCCACACGGCAGATGCCAGTCGTCACAGGAGTGAGTGAACGAACGGAGGATCAGGGCAGGTTCCTTCCTGCAACCTGTCAGCTTTTGGGAACACTCCTTTGTAGGTGTCCCACCTCCTTTGCCCAGCCAACTCCTGCCAAGACGTCGAAGCCCAGGGGAAAGTTCCCCTCTCTGGGCGGCTTCCCCACCTCCCAAGCCGGTGCTGGGGAATGGAGACGGCGTGCCGAGTGTGGCCCCCACTCCCTGTGGCTCCTATAACTGGCCCTGGGCGCCCCCACCACGGGAGGCCCTGATGGGGGGCGCGTGTGTGCAGTTGCTGGACACCCACGTACGTGGGGAGTACCGAGTGGCCCAACTTCCTCACGGGGCTGCCCCTGAGGAGCCAGGAGTCGTCCAAGCGAAGCTCCTCTTGGGTCCCAGAGGCACCTGGCCTCCTGGCGGCTCCCCGAGGGTGGCGCGTACCTCGGTGCATCACCCGACGCGAGTGCATGTGCTCCACGGCGCTGCACAGCTGCACGAAGTACTTCCACACCGTCCTCTCGGGGATGAGCCGCTTCTGCTTCTTAAAGTACTGCGTTGGGGAGACAGACAGATGGACAGGCCAGGTGAGCGCGCTGCAGGGGGGACGGCTGTGAGACTAGGCCCTGTCCTTTCCCCAGCGGGCAGCTGATGCCTGGCATGGGGGTGGGGGGTAGTCGGGCTGCTGAACAAACAGTAAACCCAGAACCCAGAGTGTGCGCTCACTAGGACTTCTGGAACCTCCTGGACACACCGCCACGGGGAGCTCCCTGCAGGAACAGGTTGGGTGTGGGACTCTCCTGCCCCCAGCCCTGGCCTGGCCTGGCCCGGGAGGGCAGCACCCAGCACACACTTGTGGCTAAATCCGAGCTGCCACCACCTCCTTGGAGCTGGCAAATCTCAGCACACCACGATTGTTAACAAACATGGTGGGAACCTCGAGGAAGTGGGCTTGACGTTCTCAGACAGACCCCCTAGTTTCAACAGGCGTTAGTCTACTTCACTGGAAAGACATTTGATGTTCCAGAAAAAAAAAGAACAAAACAAAAAGCCCTCAGGCTGCATTGAACGCGCTGTAAGCAAGCAAAGGTCTAGAAGGCGCAGGCCAGGGGCACGTCCACAGCCACGGTGCAAACCAAGACGGGGCTGAGCGGGTGGGGGCGGACGTGACTGGGACACCAGCTACCTGAGCGCCAGGTTTTTGAGCAGGCGCTTTTCACCCCAGAGCGACTGTCTATTCCCCAAACAGCCGGAGGCAACGCTGTGGCCGTCTGTTAGGCCGCTGCTCTGGCGCACGGAAGGCAGAACAGAGCTGGGACACGCGCCTGGCCCGGGAAAGGCCAAGCTAACGTTCGCTGAGCGCCTGCCCTAGGCAGGGAGGGCCGGGCCCGTCCCACAGACGAGGAAACTGAGGGCTGCACAGGGAGAGCAGAGTCACAGCTCAACCCCAGGCCTTCCGCCTAGAAAGCCCGAGCTCTTAGCCCACTTCTGAGGACACCAGTCACCACTGACGTGAAGGGCTGAGCTCACGGAGGTTTGGGAACATGCTCAAGGTCACCCAGCCAGGATCCGGGTCTGGGCACCTCCCACAGTGCGACAGTCGTGGCTGGGACCCAGCCCCTGATCTTACAGCAAATCTCCTGGCGCTCTCGGGAGGCGCCCTTCTGGGAGGAGGACCTCGTGGTGAGCCATCCCAGGCGCTTGGCTCAGATCCCCACCCCAGGCACCCCCAGGCCTCCGTGGTGGGCCAGGCTGGGGTGTTATTTACGCTACGATGTTAGTTAATTCTCATTACAGCATTTAAGCGGGGATGCGCATGGCCGAGAGTGGTGATTTTCTAAATGTCACGTCCTGTAAGCGCTGCCTGACATTTAGCAGGAAGGCGCAGAGTCTCTGGTGGGTTCCAGGGCGGCGGCAGCTCCTGGCTTCGCTGTTCCTCATAAATAACGCTGACACCGTGGCTGTGGTGGCCATGCTCGGCCCTACGGCTGCAGGCCCTTGGGACATAGGCCTTGCTGGCCAGCAGCCTCCAAGGCCGATGGGGCAACTATGGCTGGGGCCCTGGCAAGGCCCCTGATCCTCTGGAAACCCAGAGGCAGCCTGACAGTGGGAAGGCACTGTGCTGGGTGTGTCACAGACGAGGAAACTGAGGCACGGGGTCCTGCCCAAGGCCATCCAGTGGGTGTGTCTGACTCGGGGCCTGGTCTTGCCGCGGCCTTGCCTCTCTGCTGCGGGCCTGGAGCCAGATGGGAGCAAGCAGGAGCGGGTGGGGAAGGGGAGTGTGGGAGGGGAGGCAGCATGCCAGGGAGGAGGGACCCGAGGCCCTGAGAAGCCAGTCTACACCCCGGATTCAGCCCTGCTGGTCAGAGACTGTCTGAGCCCTGAGCCCGCACCGTCCCTGGGGAAGCCAAGGAAGGGTGCAGGATGTGGGGAGGCTGGCTGGGGAGGGGACGACCCACCCCAGGCCAGGCACGGATGGAGGTGCCGGATGCTGACTGGACACGCACCGTACACACCTCCCTCCTCTCCCAGCCTGGGGGAGCGTGCAGCCAGGCCCACGGCTCCCACGGCGCCCCCTCCAATACGTACCCTAGGATGGGGGGAAACCGAGCTCAGGAAGAGAGGGTTTTGCCCCCGTCCATCCACCTGCCTGACCCTCACCCCACTCCACGGACTGGACTGGGCGGGTGTCTGGGGTCCACTGCGGCAGTGCTGGAAGGTGACAAGGAGGCGTCCCCATCACCTGTCTGTCCCTGCCCTTGCTGCTCCCTCCACTCTGCATCCAGTCTTTCTCCTAGAACACAGAGCTGACCATGTTTGCATCCTGCCATGAGTCTTAGGAAGCTTCTATGGCTTTGGGGTGTGGCCTGATCCTGAGCCTGGAGCAAGAGGCCCGCATGGTCGGATGGTCCTCACTTCTGCCCCACCGAGTGCTTTCTACTCGCCCCCGGCTCCTCCACCAACTGCTCCTGCTTCTGGACTGCTCGTTTCCCCTCAAGTCTTGGCTCAAGTGCCACCTCCTCCAGGAAGCCTCCCTGGACTCCCACAGGGCCTGAACTTGGCTTGTGCACGCTGGCCCTTAACTGCTTGTTCACGGGTCTACCTTCCTGTTAGAATCCAGGCTCCCCAAGGGCAGCACCCACGCCAGTGGCACCCCCAGGTCTTGGCACGAGGGCTGGCACACAGTGGGTGTGCAATGCGGGTGCGTTCAGTGAGAGAATAACACGTGAAGGAGAAACAAGTAAAACGGTGGGCGGGGGAGGAACTAAGACATGATGTAGCACATCTGCTCCCACCAGGGAGCCGAGTGGAGATTAACATCCCTGCAAACGCATTAATATGTCAACGGAAATATAAAAGCAGGTGATAACAGCTCAAGTAATGCCACTTCCCAGCGCTGCCTGTGTCCCTAGGAGCCAAATTTCAGAAGAGCAAGCACCGAGCAATTGCTCAGTCCCCAGCGCCTGGTGGGAAGATGGAGAGTCCACGTCTGGCCCCGTTTTCCAAGTGTGGCTGGGAGCAGGGTGGGGGCCCAGGGGAGGCCCAGCCTCACTCAGAAGCTGACAGATGGGGCCCAGGGGAGGGAGCGACGGGGGGCCCACAGCAGTGTCCTGGAGACTCGGGTCCCAGCAGGGAAGCGAGGGTCTTGAGGGAGGTACGGGGAGTGGGCCGAGGGCTGGGCCTGGGGCTCAGGTGGACCTGGCCTCGCCACTGAGAGGCTGTGCACCCCGGGCGGGAGACTGTACTTCTCTGCGCTTGCTCTCTGAGGACAGCATGGACTCAGTGAGCGGAGAGTGACGTGCTCGGCCCCGTCGTGGCCGACAGCAGGTACTTTCTCGGTGGAGGTGTGGTGGTCCCTGGTGCCGGACTCAGGGGGACCTCTCCCTGGGCCCTGGGAGGTGGCGCGAGGCGGGGAGAGGTGTGTGCTGGGGTGAGGGGTACAGCACAGGAGGCAGACCTGGTGCCAAGCCTGCCTGTGTGACTTGGCCGGTCGCTGGACCTCTTGAAGACCCCGGGTGCTGGCCATTACATAGAAATGACAATCCCCCTCTAGGGCTAGGGAGACCGTTTTGGGGACGATACCCATTGAAGGGTACCATGCCATGAAAACAAAGACCTAGGCCACAGGCATCGCTCTGTCCCACAATGCTGGCTGTCCTTCAGGCAAGTCTCTTAACCTCTCTGGGCTCAGCGTTCCCCTTCTGTGAAATGAGGCGGTTGGACCTACAAGACACTGTCCTGAGAGCCGGGCTCTGACCTGGCGGGCTGCTGTCCCTTTTCCTCTGAGGCAGAAGTAGCCCATGAGCCCATGGATGGGCTGGGGGTTGACCCTCCAGCAGCCACCAGCCTCTCCGGGCATCACAGTGCCTTGCATTGTGCAGACAGGGCTCTCCTGTGAGCAGAGCTTCCCTGCGGCTGATGGGAAGAGAGGTACCCCAGCAATGGCCACGGGGGACGGAGCCCAAGAGGGCCCTCCCCAGACCACAGCTGAGGCCCGCGGGCACTGGCAAGGAGGGCTGAGGAGAGGCTGCGGCCCTGGGCTCTGTGTCCGCGCAGCCCTGGCCCCTGCCTGCCCTCACCTTGATCATCTGCGAGAGGTCGCCCGCGTCGGCTAGCTCCAGCACGATGTTCAGCTCGTTGTCTTCGATGAACGAGTCCAGGTACTTGATGATGTTTGGATGGTTCAGTTGCTGTGTGAGGAGAGATGGGGGGGAGGGCGCCAGTGAGAGACGGTACGGCCCCAGCGCCCGGCCCACGCCGGCACCCCACCAGCACCCTGTAACAGCGGCCCTGGCATTTGCCGGAGAGGAGCCTGCCCGGGGAAAGACCTGTGCTTTGGAGTGAGGCAGACCTGGGTCACGTCAGGAAAGCCACTTTGCATCCCTGAGTCTCCGTTTCCTCATCTGTAAAATGGGCATAATGCTTTGAAACATAGCTGTGAAGATGAGATAGGCTGACACCCGTGCAATGTGTAACACCGCACCTGCGCAGAGCTACACAAGACTCGACAGACACTTGTAGAAATGACACCCCTCCTGCTCGCCACCCACGCCCCTCACGGGCAGGACTGAGCCTCCACTGGCCTGGCCCTGCGCTCGGCACGTGACAGGCTGCAGTGGTTACTCAGAAGAATTCACCTCCTCCCTTCTGCCTTCCCACGCTTTCTCAGTTTCTGACCCATCCCTTGTGGAATCTCTTTGTGGCGAGAGCCGCCTGGCTGCCTGCTCAGTGCTGAGCCCTGGCCTCCGGGCGACAGCCCGTGTGTTCGCTGATGACAGAGTGTGGAGCTGGACGGGGCAGTGCCCCATGCGGGAAGCCAGGCCCGGCCAAGCTATAAGAGGAGCCCCTGGCAACTCTTTATAAAGAAACCGACTGTGTACACCAAAGTGACTCCAGGACCTGGGGAAAGTAAAGGGGACTCAAACATCCAGAAGCCCATTTACAGCGTATCTTCTAAAAGACCCGGAGCCTTTCAGAAAGGCCGCATGCCAACCTGTGCCTGTCCCCGGATTCTAGAATGAGGGGAACGTGGGAGGACTTTGCAGAGCCACGCCATCCCCCATTCGTTCATCCCCCAGGCCAGTACCCAGGGGTGGGCACCCGGTCAGGGAGGCAAGGGGAAGGCAAAAGCTGCTGCCCGACCCACTGGGGCCTGGGCAAGGCTCCAGCGTGTGCTCTCGAATACCTTTAGGAATGTTCTTAGAAACTAGGAACCGGCAGGCCAGGGCAGCAAGCACCGAAGAGCTGCCCTGTCCTGAGAGGGGAAACGTCAGGTGTGAAACGGGTGGGTGGGTGGGAGGAGGAAGCTGAGGGAGGAGCTGTGATTCTGTCCCGGCCCACACCCAGGCAGGCCGGCAGCGGAGAGATGGAATTTCCAGTCAGGAGAGACGGCTACTAACTGTGACATGGTCACAGAGGACTTGGAGGGCCCATGGCGAGGGAATCCACCTAGAGAGGGGATGCCACGGAAGACTTCCTGGAGAAGGTGGCATTTGAGCTGAGGTCTGAAGGGTGAATGAGAATTGCAAGGGGGTATGAGCGAGCAGCCCGTGCAAAGGCCCTGTGTTGGGAGGGGCGTGTCACATCCTGGCGGCTGAACAGAAGCCTGTGTGGCTGGTGGGATGGCAAGGGAGGGGGCGTACCCAGGGCCGAGGGTGGGGGCACGGCGGGGGGCAGATCACAGTGTCTCACAGGGCCCTTGAGGACTCAGGTCTCTCCTCAGAGCAATGGGGAGCTCTGACAGCTCTGAAGGGCCTCGTTGTGTCCCACCTAGGACAACTTTGCTTATTCTCAGGTTATGAAGATTCCCCCAGTTTTTTCCTACAAACTTGATACTAGAGCTTTAGCTTTTATGTCTAGTCTGTGATGTGTTTCACGTTAATTTCTGTGTCCACAGCATGAGGCAGGGGTCAGGCTCACTTTTTTCCACTGGGATGTCCAGCTCTCCTGGACCGTGGATGTCTTTCCTTCGTCTACTGAACCGTTTTGGTGCCTTTGTCGAAAATCCCCCAGCCTGGATTTTGTTCTGAGGAGGTCGTCCTGGAGCCGACACTGGCCTTCAGCTGCCCTCAGCACGTATCGCGTTACACAGATACGTTTTTCAGTTACAAAAGAAGTGTCAGAGTAAGCAAATGGCAGGTCGAAAGCGCTTTAAAACCCCTGAAGCACGTCACGTGGAGCGGGCGCGTTGCTCCTATGGTGAGTGAGGAGCCTCATTCCTTCACTGGGACCCTCCCCCGTCTCAGGGAGGGCTCCCCGAAACCTGCCCGGGTCAGCCGCAGTCCAGGCATCACAGCTCTCCAACAACTTGGAAAAATGAGAGGGAGGCTTGGGTGGGAATCAAAGCTTCAGTCGAGGACGTGCTAGCTCCAGGGGAGAGGGGAAGGAGGCTGCTTTCCCGTTTCCTGGGGGGAGGTCTGCGGCCAGGAGGCCGGGGAGCGGCCCTCAGACACCCAGGCAGTGTACCAAGGCGCAGACAACAGGAGCCCCAGCCATCACCTGGACTAAATCCCCGAGGCCCCCAGAAGGCACTGGCCACAGGCCCACAGGCAGCCAGGGCTGAGCTGAGCCTAGAACCTGGTCCAGTGACCCAGAGCTCCTGTCCACACAGAGTCCACTGCCCAGCCTGTGGCCTCATGGAGAGCCCAGGTGGGTCTGGAAGGGGACATGGAAAGTGCTCCAAAGATGCAGTGTGGCTGGGTTTGCCGGGCTGCGCTGGCAGCTGCTGGGGGATGGGTGGGAGAGGGGGCTAGGAGTAAAAGGCCCCCCATGCAAGGTCCCTGCTCCTTTGAAACTCTGGGCTTTGCTCTCTGATGTTCAAAGCCCCTCCTAGACAGAACACGGAACGAGTCCATGATGAGTCCTCCCCACTGGGCTACATCCCCACGTCTAGCATTCAGTGGTGCTCAGAAATTGTGCTGAACGCATGAACACATACCTGCATTCCAAAAGGACCCACCTTCCTGTCCCACACTTGCCAGCTGCTGACCCCACCAGCCTGTACTAGAAGTTTTGGGTTTGGGATCTTGCCACGAACGATATGGACGACGTTACCCAGCTGCCCCTGAGAACCACGTTTCCTTTTGTTTTGTAGGAAGCACCTCGTGCCCTGGCACATCCTGTTGACTTCCCGCCTCACGTGCCCTGCCCTCCAGTGAAGGGGTTCTACACGCGTGCATCCTGAGCACGGCCTGTGCCACCGCAGCCCCTGCCCTGGCATAACCCAGGCCTGGCTGGGGGAGGATTCTGTCCCTTCCTCAGGGCTGCAGCACAGCCGAGTGCCATTGAGTGTGGGCTTCAGAGGTGGCACGTCCCTGGCTCACTAGCTGTGGCCGGCTTTTGACCTCTCAGGACCTCAGTTTCCTCATCTGTGGAAGGAGCATGATGACAGCAGTGCCGTTCAGGGTGCTGGAGGCATCGGCGGGGGAATGTGTCCGGCGAGCCCCGTGGAGCATCTAGCGTGTGGTACGCACTCAGCCCGGGGCAGCCCGTCGCCATGGATGTCACCTCTGCCTGCCAACGCCAGCCCCTTTCCAGAACGCCAATCCAGCTCCCCTGGTAGCCCACCAGAGCAGATACTCAAAACTCACCCCCGGCCACATCCCCCAGCTCTTGGCCACTTCTGCAGCTCCCCTTTTGTTCCCGAGTGGGGACCTGGCCTGCCGACATCTCCAGCCTCGTGCCCCCGCCTCCCATTATCCATGCTGTCGCGATTCCCTGAAGCAGGCTCATCTTGGCCTTTCCGAGATTGTGCACTGGGCTCTGCAGGGCCTGCCCGGGAAGTGGGTTTCCCCTGGACTCCCTGGCCCCTTGGTCGCCTGCATCACCCAGGAAGGTCACCATCTGTGACCCACCTGTTCCCCCACCAGGCTGGGAGTCCCCGAGGGCAGGGCCTGCAGAATAAACTGCTGATCTGAAATCCTGTAGCTGCGGCTCTGGCAGGCGACACTGCCACCAGCAGCCCCACTTCGCTGGAAACTGCCAAGCAAACTCTCTATGTGTTTTACAGGAGGGAAAGGCACCACGTGAGTGCCCACTGTGGGCTTTGCAGGTATTATTTTATTTAATCCTCTCAATCCTCCCATATCCTGCGGGGCAGGCATTCTTGCCATTGAGCAGATGGGCGAACTGAGGCTCAGGGAGGTTACGTCACTTGCCTAAGGCCACACAGAGTGTAAATGAAGACATCGGGGTTTAAACCCAGGCCCCCAGGCCTCCAAAGCCAGAACCTTTTCTCCTCTGTCACTGCCCAGATCCCAGGCAGAATCCTAAGCCTGGTGGGGTGGGGAGGGATCCCCAGGAGAGAGCGGCCCCAGCCCAGGGCCAAAGTCTAGACCAGAAAGACCTGTCATCCTTGGCTCTGGGGAGACCAGAAGCCAGTGGTGAGGGGAGGGCTGACCACAGACACAGTCGCCTGGCATGCACGGCCTGGCCGGCGGCTCATCTGTCCTTCAGGAGGACGTGCGCAGCCAGCCAGCTCCAGCCCCACCAGGACTTCTGCCCATAGCGGTGCTCCCGCCGTCTCCTCGTGGGGGGCGTGGGAAGAGCCTAACAGGACGAGCCCCCCAGCACCCGGGAGAGCTGCACCCGCACGTGATGCTGCGGTGCTGACACGCCCAGCAGAGGCACCTTGTGAGGGAGTGCGAGGGAGGCTGAACGTGCAGGTGTGTGAGCTCTGCACGGGGCAGTGAGAGCAGAGGCTGAAAGGAAAGATGGAAAGGGGAAGAGAGAGAGGAAGACAGACCCGACGCCCACACTCGACTCCTCCCCGGGCAAAGCCGGTCCAGAGGTCACTGCGCGCATGAACGGGAGCCTTGCAGGGAAGGACTTCCGTGCCAGGTGCTGCCACCTACGAGCAGGCGTGACGTGCAGCAACGACACGTCTGTGGGCAGGAGCCTGAGGGCTGGGCAGAGCTGTGGGGCAAGGGCTGCTCCTGCCGGGCCACACAGAAACCCAGGAGCTGCTGTGCTCCTGGCACCATTTCTGAACTCAGCAGGGCTGTGACGGACATGGCGTAGCCCAGCCGGGGTCCCAGGGCCACCCTGAGGAAGAGAGGCTCCCGCTCGGCCCAGGGCACTCACCTTCAGGAGGCCGATCTCCTTGACACAGTCCTGCCTCGCCTTGGCGTCCATCATCTCAAAGATCTTGGGCGGAAGGAAGAGAGAAGGAGCCGTGAAGCCTGGCGCCCGGTGCACCCACGGGAGCCACAGGGGCCTGAATTCCAGTCCTGGCTCTTCCGCCCCATGCGGAGCAACTTGCAACTCAGTAAGTGGGAACTGAGCTCCCACCCCGTAAGTGCCTACTGAGTGCCCTTCGGGACCTGGCGCTGTGTGATCTCCTCACCGACAGCACTCCACGAGGCAGGAGTTATGTACCCAACTTACAGAGGAAGCTGAGGCCACACCCTGGGAAGCGGCAGGCCAGGACACACACTGGAGCCTCAGGTCTCCCCTCTGTAAATGGGGCCACAGCACGACCCCCCGGCATCGTCGGGTGGACTGATTAGGACGATGCGGGTGCAGCACCCAGCACCGAGCCCCCCGCACCCCAGCCCTGCAGTGCTCGCTCAGTGTGGGTGCCCAGTGCTGCCTGACTTACAGGTACAGACAAAAGGTCGGCATTCAGCAGCCCTATACAAAACCCATCCTGGCACGAAAGGATCAAGGCAAAGAGAGCCCAGGTGAGCCCCTTCTTGGAGGCTTGAGATCAGACACTGGGCCTTTTCTGGACAGGGGAGCCCACTTCCCTCCAGCGCGTGATATCTCCTCTGCCCCCCAACCTCACTCCCTCTCCTGGGCCTCCACTGCCCACGATGTCAACCTTGCTCTTCAAGGGCCAATGAGCAAATCCAGGGGCTTGGGAAGCCTTGCTGGAGGATTGAAAGCTGTTTCCTCCAGCAAAGCGGCATTTGGATGGGCCCAGTGGCGCTCGTGGACATGCTCCTGGACTGACCTTACTGCTTGACCTCCTTCTTGCATTTAGGAAGGACACAGAGGGCAGGAAGGAAACGTGGAGCCCAGAATTGTGGAGTGGGCACAGGTACCAGGTGAGTGGACGTGGTCTGCACCTCAGCTCCCCTAATTCACCCCAGGGCCCTGAAGTAGTTAGGTCTCTACACTGTTTCCTCATCTGAAAGACTGGAGAATAACCCTGCCCAGAGCGCTGCGGACAAGGTTCCATGTGCTCCTAGCACAACCTAGCATACAGCAGGTGCTCAGTGCATGCACACTTTTCTTTTCCTTTACGGTTCACAATGTCACATGAGTCTACCTGGTTCTCTCCATGAGTTGGGCACTAATTACCCTCAATCGGAGGCAGGGAGGGGAGGGGAAGGGAATGGCCCAGGGCCACTCTGTCCAGACGCAGAACCTGACACCTGGGATGCTGCTCTGACCCCAAGGGTCACCGGCTCACCTGCACCTTCTTCAGAGCCACCGTCTTCCTGTCCAGCAGGCAGGTGGCTTTGTACACCTCGCTGAACTGTCCTCGGCCTATCTTCTTCTCGATCTGGAAGTCCGCCAGCGAGCAGCGAAAAGACAGGGTGCTGGGGTGTCTCTGGAGAAGGGGGACAGATGACATCGGTCACCAGCCAGGCTGGCATGGAGGGCCTGGATCTTGGCAGCTGGGGACCCCTAGAACCGCAGCACCCCCCAACAGTACCCCTCTAAGGGGAAGGAGGGACTCTGCTTGCCAATCCACTGTCAGAGCCTCCCAGGCACCCCCCAGGGGCTTTCTGTACCAGGTCGGTCCCTTGTGCTCCCCACAGCGAGCCCCACTGGGGAAACTGAGGCTGCTCGTTTCCCCATTGCACCATCACTGCCTTTGTTATCTGAGTGTTCGTTTTTCCGTATCCCGTCCCAGGAGGCTGGCTGGTGGGGCTGGGGCCTCACCCGTCTTGTGTGCTCCTGAGTCCTCTCTGCCCAGGTCGGGCCTGGCAAGCAGAGCGTGTGCAGTAAACATCTGAACAAGGCGTGAGAGAGTTGCCAAGGTCACCTGGCTCGGTGCCAAGGTTGCCAGGCTTGGGGTGGCGGGGCGGGGGGGCCCTGCTCGGACTGCAGGTCTCACCAGCCCAGGGCACCGTGCGTACCGCCCCAGCCCCTAACCCTGCAAGTCACCGTGAGAAACGGCAAGTTTCCCTCCTGGGGCAGCCATTCCCCACATGACAGGGGAAAACCGAGGTTAACAGTTGCACCCTTACATTCTGAGCTAATTCTTTGGATAAACTGCCCTCTTTATGGTGACACGAAGAAACCAGAGACTCACAGTGACCGTGGGCGCCAGCGCTGAAACTGATTAAGCTCTAGGAGCTGCCCCGGGACGGAGCTGCCAGGTGAGGCAGCAGTGGCCGGCTGGGCTGTGAGCCGTGACACACGTGCAAATGAGCTCATTGGAAAAGGGGAGGGGCGCCAATGCTGGGCCCTGGCAAAGATGGAAGTGAGAAGGGGAGACGGTATAGCCTGGTAAGGTCGGCCCGGTTATGTCTCCATTTGCCAGAAGAGGAAACCAAGGCCCAGAGGGGCCAGCCCTGCCCAGGTCCCCAGTCCATGCAGCCTTCCCTGAGGGCAGAGCCCCGGCCCCCTCCCACCACAGCTCCCACTCCCCACTCTGGATGGGGTGTCACCAACACTGGGGACCGCAGGGCCTGGGTCCGGCTGCTGCTGGATGGCTCGCACACAGGTTTGCACAGAAATGTTTGCTGACTTCAGTTTGGGAGGCAGGGTGAGGCTAGGAACGCTGTAGGCCCCACTGCAGCAGGAACAAGCAGCCGAACCTTCCCGTGTGAAAACGGGTCTTCGCTGAGGGTCACAATGCGCTGTGAGCTGCCTCAGGCATCTTTAGCGGTCAGCGCCAGGGCAGAAGACATCAAGACCGAAACCAAGAACCACAGCACTGACCCTTGGACAGCCGCTTCCCCACTAGAACCAGACCAGAGACCGCTGGCAGAACCACCTGGGTCTCAGCCTGGGACGACCACTGGGCAGAAGGCACGTTTCCTGGGAAGATGTGAACTGGCCCCACCCCGCCTCGCCCCTGCCATCTGTCCTCCTCCTAGGGTGGTAGGAGGGACCTGCTTGCCAATCCACTGTCAGAGCCTCCCAGGCACCCCCCAGGGGCTTTCTGTACCAGGTCGGTCCCTTGTGCTCCCTGCAGCGACCCCCACTGGGGGTGCTCCCTGCAGCGACCCCCACTGAATCGTGACTTAGCTAATCATAAAACTCACTGGAAAAATGAAAGAAAAAAGTAAAATGCCTCTTCCAGATTGGGGCCAGGACCATACAAGACGGTGGAAGATGCAGGTACTGGGATGCACTCTGGAAGTTTCCCTCACGTGGAAAACAAACATTTAGACCAACCGGCCCTGGCAGGAGCCCTTGGAACCGCCGTGCGACTGGCAGTGGAACAGGGCTCAGAGCACCGCTCCGCGCCAGGCGGGCTTGGTCCCAGCCCGGATTCAGCCGCTTGCTGGGTGGTAACCTCGGGCGGTTATACAAGCCACTCTGTGCCTCAGTTTCCTCGTCTGTAAACAGAGATAACAAGTGTGCTTATCTCACAGGGTCACTGTGAGGCTGCGGGAGGTAGCCAGGGAAACCACTTTTCCCACACGGTAGGTGCTCTGGCCGCTGCCACTGTTCCCGACAGGCCCGGGTGAGAGGAGCCGCAGAGCCCCTCGCCCCAGCTGCCACACTGTCTGTGCCTTGCCCGCTTTCCACTAAGCTGCCCATCCCAGCTCTGTGCCAAGGAAACACTGAGGAACGCCCTCCTGCCAGAGCCAGGGATGGGAGTCCCAGCCCTGCAGCCCTCAGCCGGAGAAGCATCAGGCCAGCCTCGACTTTGACGTCTTGAGGCACGATGACCTTCCATGGCGGGTCCTGCCTGGGCACCCGACCGTGAGGGCTGGGGCAGGAGGAAGACGATTATTTCATCTACCACGTGCCCATGGCTGTCGGGTAAATTCCTGAGTAACAGCCGTTAACCTACCCGCCCACCGAGCACCCGCCTAGGCAGCACAGGCTTAGTGCTCGCCGCAGACGCCTCCCGTGTGCCACCTCGTTGGGTCCTCAGAACGACCCTGTGAGTGGGCCTCGCTGCTACCCCCATTTCAGGAATCTGAGACCTGGAGGGGAGGCAGCGACTTTCCCCAGACCCTGCAGCGAGGCATGGCAGAGCTGGCATTTGCCCCCGGCACTGGGGGCTACAGCACAAAGCCCTTGTGGGGCCTCCCGGCTCAGATTCCTCCTCTGCTCTTCCGCTGAGACCCCCGACCAGCCGGGCCTCTCCAGAAGGGGGACCCTGACTCAGTCCCTCCACGTCCCCTGCGCTGAGGCTCTGACCTGCCCAGAGCAAGCGCTCAGAGAGTGTCTGTGGAATACACAATGGAACGTGCTCCGCACAGCCCAGCGCACAGTGGGACTGTGACCCAGCCGCTGCCACCGCTAGGAACGCAGCCAGTATCACACGCCCTTAGAAAACGCCAAGCGGCTTTCTCAGCACTTGGAAGAATCACACATACTCACAAAAATAATGCCAAGCTGTAGCGTAGTAGCAACCTACTACGTCTCAGTTACTGTACTAGCTTAGGTTTTCTGACTTAAATCTCCCAACAGCCTTGCAAAGCTAGGGTTATTAATCCCACCTTAGAAACCAGGAAACTGAGGCTTGAGCTCCCTTTTGGATCTAGGCCCAGTTGCGCTGTCAGGTGACATGGAGTGGGGTCCACCGCCCTTAGGCCTCAGTTTCCCCCAGGTACAGGTAGGGTTTGGAGGACGTGATCCTTGAGGGCCCCTGCTCTGGTGACACCGGCTGCTCCTGGTGAGGTTGGCCAGAGGCCCCGACACTCTGCCTAGAGGCTGCACTGCCCAGCTCCGTGGGGCCCAAAGCTCCCTGGATATGGGTGACATCCTGGCCATGTTGGAGACTCCAGCTGCTCATTTGCATATAAATGACCCAGATTTGTATTTCCTGTCACAATCCATTGGACCTACTTAGAGGAATCAGCCCCCCTGGCAGGGACGCTCAGTGGGCAGTGCAGGGTGCAGTCCAGCAGGCTCTGGGACCTCCACTGCCCTCGAAGGGTTGGTGTGGGGGCCTGTTCCCGGTGGCCTCTGCTCAGATGTGGGCACCTCAGGACACAGGCCTCCTGAGGCAGGGCCCTGGCCCTGACGCACCAGGGGGCTCCGAGCAGAAAGGAAAGGGTAAACTGCGCTCCTGTCCTCGAGGCCACATCTGTCACCACCTCCGAGGCTTTCCTCCCCTCAGGATCAGCCCCATCAAGTTCCACTCTTGCCCTGTAGCCAAGTGACCCTGAGCTGGTTGTCCATACACAGGGATGGTGACACTGGCCCCAGGATTTCTGAGGATTCCAGAGATGACGTTGGTGATGAGGGTCCGTGGGGCTCTCCCCAGAACAGTGTGCAAAATGGTGGCCCCAATAATGATAATTGTTGACTAATGACCTATCACCCTGGTGGCCTTTCAGAAAACTGGTCGTCTACTGCTTACTGTCCCCTGCTCTCTCTGGGACCCCGTGCTGGCTACTGGGGAACCTAAACACCCTCTGCCCAGGGCACAGGTTGGCAGAGGGTAAATGCTGCTCCAGCTCTGTCGTTTGAGACTCCCACACTGGGGCCTGGAGGCTTGGGTTCAAATCCTGACTCTACCAATCTTGGCTGTGGGCCCTGGGCGAGCCTCTGGGTAATGAATAAAAGCCCTTAGAAGAGGGCCTGGCACACTGGCAATGTGACATGTTAATTGTCATTACTGCTGTTGGTGCTGACTGGCATTGTTGGCTCTATCAAACGGGCTAATGACAGCACCTACCTCCCAGGGGCTGGGGAAGAACCGAGCTGTGTCTGGCGGGGCAAACAAACTTAGGGAGTTCTTGCTGCTGTTACAATGACCATGACCACCGTCTCCACCCATGAAGGGTCTGCTGATCAGAGGCTGGCGGTGACCTTGGGGGCTGCAGTAAGGTGGCGGCTGCCATGCACCTGCCAGTGGGTAAGGGATGCAGCCTTGTGACTTTGCTGACCCCCGCGTGGGCTGCCCAGGACTCTGTGACAAGGAACCATGCCCTTGGCCTGTCTCCTAGGGCTGCGCTGTGAGGCAATGCCATGGGAGGCCACGTCTGCCTCCTCTTCCCCAGGGCATGGAGTCCCTCAGCTCTCCCCCAAAAGGCGGAGGAGATGGGTCGGGGGCTGGGAGGAGGAAACAGGGGTGCCAACCCTGCCGTATGCTTCCCATGCTCTGCTGCCAGCTACGTTGGGCCCGAGGGAGAAGGCCTGAGCTGCCTGGCAGACAGGCTGGAGCTGAAAGGGAAGGCGGATGGAGGGGCCTCTGGGCACAAGGACCCTGGACAGTGGGAGGAGCCTGGCAGGCCAGAGCCAAGGAGATGGCTGAGGGCCCTGAGTCACCTCCATCCCCAATCCCACTGTCCCAAGAAATGCTGCTGGCTTCTCAGGAAAAGGTGGGGATAATTGGGAGCCTGGGGGAGGGGTCCAGTCTAGACCACTGTAGGACACCCCCACATGGCGCCAGGCTCTCTTCTCCAAGTCAGATCAAATTAGGCCACAAACACCCCCAACCTGCGCTAATTTGAGTTTAAAACGTTTGAACCACAATAAGCCTCAGCCATCGACAAATCCTTTTTTTAAAAAAAACAGGAGCATAAAATTACATGTTAAAAGAATAAAAATGCATTCGCCCAATTAATTTTCTGAAATCTCATTAAAAAATTTAGCCTGACTAAGTCAGACTTCTGACCTGAATTTTAATCATCTTTATACTGGATGGGTCTTTTTTCTCTGATATTTGCAATGCATCATTAATTTTAAGGCAACCGTTTCTATGATTTTAAAAAGCACACTTCATCAGGATGACATTTCTTATAAACGAATTTCACCTTTAAAGACATCTGACACCGTGTGTAGGGACCTTCTAACGGATTCAGTGTCTGTGTACATAGCGCTGTGTTTTAAATCTGTGTTGCACAAAAGGGCACGATTTACAAAGAGTCCACGTTGTCAGGTTCCTTCCGAGGCCAGCCCTGCTGAGCTCTTCACGATCCAGCTAACTTCAAACCAAAAGCCCACCTTCCCTCCCGAAGACCTCACTGCAGGAAGAGGCACCATGGGGCCCCAAGGGCCTGGACTGAATCCCAACTCTGTCCCTTAGAGCAAAACGGCAGGTTACGTATCTCAGTTTCCTTCCCTACAAAATGGAGTAATGACTAACACCTACTTCTCGGAGTCGGCAGGACAACCAAATGAGATAAGTGTCAGGCATCATACTGTCAGCACAACCCCCACCGTCACTGTCTCAACTTGGAAGTCCACACTGGGCTCTGCGAGCCATCAGCTCATGGGATCAGTGAGCAAATGTCCACCCAGTGGAAGACACCTAACAACAAAACCAAAAATCATCTAAGTCATAGTGGCCTCCCCCAGGACAACCCTCATTAGCCGAACTCAGAGAAAGCGGAGCTTAAGCCCATGGATGAGAGAATCTGGAGCCAGCTCCAACGACTAACAAGCAAAGACTTGAAGGGCGAAACTATAAGGAGACCCAGCCACCAAGCCAGAAGTCTGGATATATCCCTGACAGCCCCTCTCCTTCATCCCTTCACGTTTGTGCAATTGGTTTTTCCCCCTGGAAGTTTCTGGACCCTCCCTCCCCATGTCCAGCTGCAGCCCATTTAAGGCCAAGGCCAAGGCAGCATCTCACCTAGTGGGCAGGGGCCTCCTCAACTCCCTGTAGGCACTTCACCTGAGCCTTGAGCTCCAAACACCAGTGATCTGTCTGGAACCCAAACCCAAGGACTCCCTCGCCAACTTACAACCCACAATGGGCTCCCCGTTTGCTCCAGATTCAATTTCCAGTGACAGAGCACGGACTTGAGAACTTTCACAAACACCATCCGTTCTCCTACCTAAGCATAGCTATTTAAACACCTTCTCTAACCCGACTGGCCGGGCGCCTTCGGGTCCCAGTTCCTGCTCTTTCCTCTCCCTGAACATCCTCCTCTTCCTGTCCTGCCCCAAACTCCTCATCACCCATCCAGCAGAACTAGCCACATTCTGTGGGCTCCCTCAGCACCCATCCATCCCTCTGGGGGGCTTCCAGCTCCCTGCACCATTTTCATCTATTTACACACAGGGCCTCCAGCAGACCGTGAGCACTCCCCTTCCCAAGCACCAGGCAGAAAGGAAACAAACCCTTGCTAAATTTATAGCAATTAGCAGACACGTCCTGAATCTGAATGGCTGTTAATATTTAGTCATTAAACCTTATGCCTAGCATCATTTCTTTGGGAAGATTTTCACAAAGATTTTGGCCTCCTGTACAATGCACACCCAGAGACAGCTGCCCCCATCCCCTGCAAAGGTGTGCACACTCTTCTCTTGGAATAGCGCCTCAATACAGCTGAACTTGGCTAGTCCCAGGCAGGTTTGCAAAGACTTTCCAGATGGAAGACACATTAGCTGGGACTTTCTCAGCAAGAACACCTTTCCCCTTCTTGGAGAGGCACGTGGTTCTCGGTGTGCCAGTGGAGCCTCGTATTTCATTCCCGATGAAAATGCTCTGCAGCAAATTGGTCAAAGCAAAAAGCATGGGGCATTTTAAGCTCCTTTTCTCAACTCCATTCACTCACTCATAGAACCCTTGATAAAAACAAGCATGTTCAGTTTTCCTAAGTATATATGAATTTCATATATGATTCTGTCGGGTTCAGCAAACACATATTCGTGTGCTGAGGGCTCCCAGAGCTGCAAAGCTTCCTGAAACGAACAAACCAAGAGCCTTGGGAGAAGGTGGTTAACAGAAACCACAGTTCGAGTGTTTGTAGTTTCTTTCTTTCTACACTGGAGGTATGATCCAGCTCTGAGGTCTTTAGCTGTGAAAACTAAAATGATTTTTAAAATGTAAGGTCCACAGCAGACCAGTTTCTCAGCACCACAATGTCAGGCGCCATACTGGGGGGTTTAAAGTGTATTATCTCACTTAGTCTTCGTCGCTGCCTCACGAAGCGGGTACCACGTTTAGCTCATTTTGCAGACGAGGAAACTGCGACTCAGAGAGGTCGTTTACCTGCCATCACCTGGCTAGGGAGAGATGGAGCTGGGAGGGAACCCAGCCGTCCCCAGGGAAGCTTTGTCGCTGGCTGTGAGGGTGGTGCCAGGGAAGCAGCGGTGCCTCCTGCCGTCAAGGAAGACGCCTCCACCATCAACTGAAGGCGTTTCTATGAGTGGCCGGAGTGTCTCCCCAGACGGTGTTTAAATCCCAGTGCTTCCTCAGACGAGGAGCGAGCACCAGCGCAGCGCACACACGGCTGTGCACCCCGATTCCATGAACGTGGCCAGATGCCCACGGGACAGGGGGCATCTTTGCCCGACAGCCACCCAGAGCAGCCCCACATCGAGAAATCGTATCCGATTACACTTAACTATGTCATTACCCAACCCAACATGTGCCACGAGACACTGCGAACGCCACTGCCGCAGCCCACCGCCTCCTCGCCTTGTTCCTGAAATAATTACGGGGCCCTCTCCTCTGCCAAACGAGGCTGTAATTAACCCTAATTGCTCCAAATGCAACTGGCTAATTCTGGGAGATTAATCAAGGGGGATTCGGTTGCTAGTGAATGATTTAATATGACAAATTGCTACACTTACCCGAGGAGGCCCCGCTGCCCCAGCCCTCAGCGCCATGTCCTGGTGGACTCTGGACCAACAGTGTCCTGGGGCCTCCCTTCCCAGCTTTCTGGGATCTAACCCCCCAGATTCTACTTAGGAAATGGGCCCCTGCCTGAGTTCAAATAGCACAGAAGCCCCTCTGCACGCTTACGTGTGCGTACACACACACCCACACACGCACACGCAAAATGCCCACTAGCTCATGTCACCTCCGTGTGCACTTGTAGCAGTGCCCTTTCCCTTGGCCTGATGCAGCCCTGCGCGTCTTGGTGGGGGTGCAAACACGGGGGAGGATTTCAGATCCTCCCGCCTCCTTGGCCAGGCACCTTTGTGCAGTGCATAACCCTTGTACAACTGTGCAGGGTGACCCTGCCCGTAAGGTCAAACATCAGCCGACCTAAAGTCCTCCAACAGAAACTAGGCATTAGAGGCCATGACAAGCCTTCCACGGCTCAGGAGGGTGGCTGTCTCTGAGTCTCCCCCTGATTTGGGTCTCACAGCCCTGGGACAAAAAGCCAACTCCAGACAAGAACTTTTCGTCAGTCCAGGCTGTCCATAGGACCCTACAGGATCTGGCCCCAGACAACCTGCCCAGACAAGCCCTCTGTCCCCTCGGGCCTTTGCCACTTTCTTGAGGAAGCCTCTTTGGCCCCTCGTTGGGATGAGGTGCCTTGCTGGGGCTCCACAGGCCCCCAGTTTCTTCTGCTTGGTTTCTTATCTCTCTCCCCCATGAGGCTGTGTGCTCCCTAAGAGCAGACCGGGTCTGTCTCACACGCAGCCACGTCCTAGGTGGGTGCACTACACACGCACGTGGGTTCTTTAACTCAGCAGGCGTCGAGGGCTCCACTCCACTCTTGTCAGTGCAGGCAGCCCGGGGGGCGGGGTGGGGTGGAAGGGAAGTCGCCCCTCAGAAGCAGCAGTATCTGGACTGAGACTGGGAGGAGGGTGGGGGGCATCCCAGGCCCAGGGACAGCATGTGCACAGGCACAGGGTAGACACGCCAGCTCGGAAACCCACAGGCCACCTGCTGAAAAGCTCCAGAAGGCTGCCTGGCTCTCCCAGGTGTCTACAGAGAGCATGAAGCAGGCGTAAGGACACTGGTGTTCTCTGAAGCTCTGCTGGTTCTAGATCAAGATGCTGAAGGGGTCAGGAGACAGACCGGAAAAGGAGGCAGACGTTGGCTCAGCGTAAGGAAGAACTTTCTGACCCCCAGGATACCCTGCCCATTCCCTCTGAGTTGCTCACAATCCTCAGGGCCTCCACACCCCCCTCGGTACCCTTCTGACTACGCTGAACCCTCTGCAATAAAGCTGTTCCATTCACATCAAAACTCCCCAGGGGCAGGACCAGAGTATGGCACAAAGGAGGCTTCTCTGAGTGCTGCTGAATTAAATGAAGAGCTCACTGGATCAGAGAGTGAGTTCCCCATCACTGGAAGCATTCAAGATGGGGTTCTGCTTGGGGGTGCTGAGGGGCTTCCTCCAGTGGATGCGAGCTCAGATGAAGGAGCCTCAGGGATCTGTGCTCTTTGGAGACTCTTCAACGTACTGCAGACAAAGGAAACAGGCTTACCTGTGGGTCAGGAAGGTGCGCGGGCCCCGGGGTGTGGCAGAGGTTGTTCGGGCTCCCTCCATGGGGCATGTGGCTGGGCTGTCCTGCCATCCTGCATGCCAGCCTCACAAGGGCACGGGCTGCAACAGAAAATGGGGCCTGTTCACTTTCTCCTCGAGAGGGCCCTCGGAGGGGGGTGTGAGCTGAGGTGCAGAGCAGTTCAGTGACCTGTCCACGGTCACCCAGCTCAGAAGCAGCAGGGCTAGGACCCAACACCCCACGTGACACACTGTCCCTCCACTGCACCATCCTGACTAGTTACTAGGATTTTCCCCACTGGAAAGAGGGAGAAACCGAGGCTCCCAGCAGGGAAACATCTATCAGTAGACCCCAGGCCAGCAAGAAAGGCGCCAGATTCAACCCCACATCTGCTGGAGTTCAAGGCCTTGCTCTTTCCATATAGAGCTGCCTCCTGGGGAGCAGTTCTGTACCCCTGTCCCCACATAAAGCCAGGTTAGCAGCCTGGGTGGTCAGGAGACCAAGACCCGAGTCAGAATGCAAGTGGCAGCTGCAGGAAGGTCCCCAAATCCCTGTCCTGGCTGGGCCTTGGTGTACTGGCACATGACGCTGGGAGGGCCGGGACCCATGGGTCCTGCTCACCGCCCTGCACAGACGTCTGAGCAAGGGCAGAGCCCTGTGCATGAAGGAGCAGCCCCCCTCGACCTCCAGGGCTTAGGCTGCCTAGGAGTCAAGGATCCTGGTCACAGGTAGCCATGGTAACTAATCAAGCACCCACTACGCGCCGGTCCTGAACTAAAGGCCATTTGACATCTCCCTCGTCTACTCCTGGTGCCAGAGACAGACTCTGGCCTCCCCCATCAAATAAGCAGCACCTCTGGGGCAAGGTCGGGGGCTCACGTGCACAGAGGAAGGTGTGTGGCCCAGGGGGAGAGCCGGCACCCAGCCACCGCAATCCCTCTCGACGCAAGGAAAAGCCCTCCTTCTTGGCGGCAAAGACCCACAAGCATCCTGCAGCACCTTCCCCCTGCCAGCGCCAGGCCTGGGCTCCCACGGGGCACCATTCAAGCACGTGGTGAAGCCCCCAAATCCACTGCTGCTGCTTCTACCAGACCCACCCTGGATGTCCCAAGGGCACCTCCTGCTTGACCACTCCCTAGACAGAACCCCCAGGAGGACTACCCCAGGCTAGTGGAGCAGCTGCGCTGTACCCCCTGGAGAGCCAGAAGTCCCTGGAATGGATGGCCCCTGGGGTGGCCCTTACTCAACAGCTGAGGGGTGAGTGTGAAGTGCAGGGGTCCCCTGCTTCAGGGCAGAACACTCCGAGGTATGACTCACTCCAGAGACCCTGGCGTGGTCAGGGGTTTTGGTCTGAGATGGCACCTTGGCTTGTCTTCCTCCCATTCCCAGTCCTGCCTCCCCACTTCCTTAGAGGGGCCCCGGGGGCCGCTGCCTTAATAAATCTCTTGCCCTGTGTCCTAGTCTCAGGGTCAGCTTCTGGAGGACCCAACCTAAGATCACCTTTCCCTAGACAGACCTGCCTCTTGCCGTCGTTCACCTGGCCACCTGCGCCCAGGAACCCCACCAGCCAAGTCCCAAACCAACAGTCTCCCCAGGTCTGCTGGGTCAGCAAGCCCCATTGTGCACCCCACCTGGGTAGACCCATGATCCCAGTAACACAAGGGGTGTCTGGGCAGTGGGAAGGGAACCAACTCCCGCTAGGGTTGTTACGGCCGGGGCCCCTGAGACCTGCTCACTGTGTCCTGGGGCTGCAGTCACCCTTCCATCCTCCCCACCGTAGTCTGTTTCCAGCTACGGTGGTTGGCAGACCAGACCTCCCAGGCTCCAGGGATGTCTATGACACCCTTTGACATGTGCCTTCGGAGGCACCCTGAGCCTCCCAGAACCCGCATGCTGGCTCCCAGCACTGTTCCTCCTCCGCATCCTCAGGCAGCCCCAGCTCCCCCTCATATATCTTCCACGGCTGTTTTGGGGTAAACGTGCTCTCCGGTACACAAAGTAGACCACGGAAAGTGAGGCCACAGGGGAGCAGATGGTGCAGACTGCACCCAACTCAGGGTACGAGGGGTCCTCAGTGCTGAGAGCTCTGCCAACCACCGCCTGTGCAGTCTCCTGCCTGTGAACCTGCTGAAACTCTACTTTGGCCACAGGTATGGCATTTGCTGGAAGGCATCCCAGTGTGTATAGATAAACAGGAGGACCTCACTCTCCTCTCTCTGTGCACACGGAGCGTTGCCTCGGATCAGCATTGCCTGGAGAGCATTATGGGGTGTGCCTGCCTCTCTCCCTCCCCACACCGCTGCCTCTGGCTCATGCGAGCCTCGGCTCCCACCTGCACAGCTGGGCGTCCCAGCTCCTGGCACTCTCCCGCCAAGCCCTGAAATGCAGATGGGACCAAGGCACACTCAGCTCACTGGCATCCGGGCCGACTTCTCGCACTGGAGCACACCCCCCCAGGGTGACACAGTGGAGGACCTGGGGTACAGAAAGCCCCAGGATAAACAGATAAACACGAGCACCTTCCCCAGGCATCTCTGTTACTCAGGGGGGAATATGAGAGCGAGCAGAATGTAAAATGCGCATGAATTTGAAGATAAAACTGGAGACTCCTGCAGACTCTGCAGCTGCTTTGGGCTGCACCTCCACACCCCTCAGGGTGACACGTTCACCGTCCTCTGCCCTTAGGGAGACCTCCAGGGAAAGGTTGGAGGAGAACCATCTTCAGCAAGAAGGTACTGTCTTTATCTCAGAATGCAGCAGTCTCCGCCTGCAGGCCACCCCGCCAAGGCCCACGCAGGCATGGCTCACCCGCCCACCTGCCCCGGGTTTCCCACGGATGGGAAACTATGGCAGCATCCATCTTTGGGTGCCCCTTCCTTCCTCCCACCTCACCTAGTTCCAGACTCAAGGGCTTTGGGGCCGGCCTCAGTGTGAATCTCGACCCTGTTACTCACCAGCTGGGACCCCGGGCAGGAGCCCAGCAGGTATTTGCAGATGCCATTCCAGCCTTCCCCAAGTGGCACTGACAGCACCCTCCAACAGCAGTGGCCAGAGGCAGCAGCCTGCATGTCTCAGTAGCTCATCCTGTGGCCTCACACGTGCTCCAGGAGCATGACAAGGGGAGCCCGTGCTCCAGGAGCATGACAAGGGGGGCCCGGGCCACATCAGAAATAACAGGAATAAAACCGACAGTGATAGCTAACAACTGCTGGGTCCTAATGGTGCCGGGCCCTCCCTATACACTTCACCTCCTTGTCCATCTCATTTTAACAATCACCCCATGAGATAAAGTCTGTTATGGTCCCACTTGACAGATAAGAAAACTGAGGAGCAAGGAGGTTAAGAGATTGGCCCAGGTCCCGTGGACCACAGGGAGTAAAACCAGGACTCAAACCTATGATGGCATCTTTGTCCAAACCACTGTGCTGTGCCCCTCACAGGTGCTTACAAGGCAACATGTCATCCTCATTTCCAGCTGGCTCTGTGCAGAACGGGCTGGCTCCGCTCCAAAACGGGGCCTATGCTGATGTGCAGGGGTGATCCCAGGGGCCTCTGGGCACGGGCCCCCAGGCAGGAGCCCCTAGGACTTCGGACTCCGGACCTCACCAAGCTGACACAACACCACCGTCTCTACCACCTTTTCTGCCAACGCCGTGAGGCTTTGGTAAATTACCGCTCCTAAGAGCTGTTCTGTCCAGAACCTGATGGAACCTGCTATACCACACTCCCCAGAGAGGAGGAGGGGCCCTGGTTCCAGCAAAGCAGCAGTCAAGGAGGACTCTACAAGTTCCTGCCCACCAAGCGCCAGAGAGGGCCACTACAAAGGGGAGACAGGGAGGGAGAGCGGGAGGGAGGGAAGGAGGAAGGAAATGAAGGCTCTTTGAGCACTTTCAGTGGGCCAGGTCCTTCCATTCATCCTTGGGGCTGTTGGTAGACCCGTTTTACAGATGGGGAAACTGAGGCTCAGAGAGGGGAGGCTCAACACCATTTGGCCGATAAGCTGCAGAGTAGGGATTCAAACTTAGCCCTGTGACTCAAAAGCCCCTCCTCGTTCCAAGGAATCCACTGCCTCCTAGGGCTCTCCAGGGGTGTCAGATTTTAAGGAATTTGCATTCTGTTTGTCCACACCCCAAAGGAAACCCAAGCCCCTTACTCTAGAAATTTCTGCCAGAAACTGCTTCTTAGGGAGTTCAGATACAGAAAGACCAAGGCAAAGGGGGCGTTGGAGGGACAAGGCGTGGGGAACAAGGAGAAGACCCTCCGCACGTGCTCACGGGCACCTCCGGGTAACACAGGGAGCTGCCTGTCCCCGGGATTCTGAGGCTCCCGCCAAGCTGCAGAACAATGAGGCAGTGGCTGCCAAGCCCAAGTCAGGGGCCAAAAATCTGTGGAATGCGAGACCCGGAGCCGCAGGCCACACTGAACACCACCTCAAAGAGGGCCTTTCTTCTGCATCGAGCAAGGGCGCTGCATCTCCAAGGCACCGAGGACGCACACTGCGGCTTCCCAGCCTGGGTTCCCAACTTTGGTGTGAACAGCAACAATAAGATGCCCCATGTCGTGTGCCTACCAGGCACCTAGGGTTAAGTGAGGCTGGCTGGGGGGCTGGGCTGGGCTGGGCTGCCTGGGTCCAGATCTCCTGGCCCCATTTCATCTGACCACACAGCATCTCAGTTTCCTCATCTGGAAAATGGGGCTATTAGTAAGATCATCCTCTTAGGGTCAATGAGAGGATGAAATGTGTTAATAGACATAAACTCCTTAGAACAGAGCTGGGCACATGGAAAGAGCTGTCTGAGGCTTTAGCTGCCATGAGCATCGTTTGCACTAACCCTCACTGTGCCGTGGAGGAGTGACTATCTCCACGTGATAGACACCGGAACTGAGCTCAGAGGGCCAGGGCCTGGCCCAGGTCATACAGCTGGTAAGCCACAGAGCTGGGGCTGCTGGACCCCAGGTCTCTGCTCTGTGTGCCACACTGCATGGCCTCTTTGGGACTGCTCTGGAGCAAACATAATTTATGTGAACTGTGGCTACCTTTACAAAGCCCTCTGACACGCTCCTCCCTGCCCCGGCCTTGGACAAAGGTCTTACTAACGTGAGGCATG